TGCTGCACCCATCGCACTATAGCCCCAGGAGTGGGGGGGGGGGGGGGGGCGTACGCATGTTTCGCATAGTTGTCAAACCATGTACCACGCGTCCTCGGGAGGACGGAGCGAGGGGGGTGGGAGGGAAAAATGCTCGCATGCTTATATAAGCTCGGCAGGAAGTGGTTTCTTGAGATACTGTCAGGAGCAGTAACGCTAGTGACCATGGAAGGGCTTTGCCGGGTTGTACGGCGAGAGTCGGCACGTTGCCTGAAAAAAACGACAACAAACCGTCTGGTTTAAGGCATGGAGTCCAGTCAAGACCACTAGAAAAGCGCGGTGGGCGGGGATTTGCAGACCTGAAAATTGCGGCCACATGGCAGACTCACACAGCCTGTTTTCGAGACTACTGGCGACGGCTTGAAGTTTTCCTGATCGATCGCCCCCACATGCACACACCGCACCGGGGTGGGGAATAAGGCAACACTGGAGGAAGTATGATCACTACACTGCTGCGAAAGGAGCGAGAGCACGCTAAATGTCAAGCACAGCATGGGTGTGGACGCCACGCCCAGTCGAGAAATAGGACAATAAAAAAGGGGTGCCTCTGGAAATCAAAGCTGCGAAGAGCGAGCGCCGACGGACACACTCTCGCGGGCCCTCCTACAGCACACGAAGGTCGGTGCTACCGTGGACTTCGGCCAAAAGTGTGTGCGCAGTGAGAGACCAACGGCACCCGTCAACTCCATCTACCAGGCACGACTTCGTCTGCAGCTTCGCCGCAGCATGAGAGACCTAATGGTGTCCTCGAGCCGTGTGTCCTCGCTCATTCAACCTGACACTCAAGTGCCTAGAATACCACGAAAACCCGGGAGTTGGGAGGCTTACTCATGTTTTGCGCGCCTTCTTAGACCATTGGCGGCGGGGGGGTGGAGGTGTAATGTAAACGCATGTCGTAGTCGAGGGGGGGGGGGGATTCTGAGAAACTCCGCGCTCGGTTGGCGATCACACCGCGAAACACTCACCCGTTGTCCCAGACCAGGGTCAAGCGGCCTGGCCGCGTGAGCGGGATGGTGCCCGTGATAGGGCCCAGTTGGCTCTCCACCTTTTGCGGCTCGACGATCACCTCCTCTTGCCCGTCCTCGGCAATACCCCCATCCCCGCTGAAGGCCCCGCCTCCCTTGCTGTCGTCCGCCTCTTCGAACAGGATGGCGAACTGTACGTCGTTGTGGAGGGTTTCGAAACTGCGGCGGGTTTGGGGGGGTGGGGAGAGAGCGGGGGTCAATTGTGCACGGGGGACTCCGACGAACCAGGCGATAAAATCCCAGACAACCACGCTGATGATGGGAGTTGGGGAGAAATCCGGTGGTAATTCGAGTTGACAGTGCGGTTTGGTTTGTGGGGTGGATGATCCACGCGCGACCTCGCCGTTTCCAGAATACGCGGATTTGCCACTGCGCAACACCGCCGTGCACGTGAACCGCATCAGTTACTCCTGCCGATTGATTTTTTTTTTTTCTTTTGGAGCCGAAAGAAGGAGATTCCCGCAGGGGGAGGGGGGTACGCTGTGCATTTCTCCGTTTCTATTTTACAGCTACGCGTCCGCAGACGCGCGGTACAGATTGAACACGCACACCTGTAGTCGATGACGCTGCCGCTGTGTTCCACCGGGATGGGGAGGCGGAACTCCGTGGCGATGGGGGTGGTGCTCGATTTCCACGTAATTATCGGCTGCAAGTCCTGGTGTCTTCCCGGGAAAGATCCATCCACCTGCTTTGTGGGGAGGGGGTGCGTTCGTGGACGAAAAGGGTGCTGAGCAGAGGGCTCCTGCGCTGATGACGCGGCATGCTGCGTTCGCCGCGCCACCCCTCTCTGCACGACGCCGCGTTCCGTGCGCTGGGGTCGATATGAAACACGACCGACCCGCCGGGCCTGCTCTACGCAAAGTCACACCTGAAGAACATCCTGAGAGACCAATTGCATCCCGAAACTATCTTCGGTGCATCTTTTTATTATAAAGAATGTACTACAAACACAGGAGTAGTTTAGTATCGGCCGCACAAACCGGCTATCAATCAGAGGGCGACAGATCTCAGTGCAGCTGAGAAACAGAAGGCCTTCTCATGAAGACCGTGATCTGGGACCTCGCGAAAGGAAGGCTAGGACAGAAACGGCGGGTGTAGCAAATTGACAGAAATGTGCGTGTCTACCGAGGCCTCTCCGCTTCGGACCCCCCAGCCCTTGCCTTTACGACTCTCTTGGCCATCCTTCGATCCCGGTGCCCAGGCAAGTTGTGTGTGCATGTTCGAGAAACAAGCACAGCAGGCATCATTGCATCAACCGTTTGCACACAAAGCCCACAAATATTTACGCGACGCCCTTTGCTGCAACCCAAGAACCGCGTTCGAACCTGCACTGCTGGTGCCGTGCGTCCGCATTTCATTGCCGCCTTACCACGCCACAGCAGCAGTCAGCAGCATCGTCTCGGCGAGAACAATTGCCGCTTGCAAGCGTAAAAGACGACAAGAGCAAACAAACGAACGAATGTCCCCATTCCCACACGCACACCTTGGTGAAGAATATCTGGAGATCCGCATCATTCTGCATCCTGCTAGATCCAGGGTGAGCCCAACGCAGCGATCCGCACCCCTGATTCCCTTCGGCGGACTAGATGTCTCCTGGAGCGGCCCCAAACCGAAGGCAATGAAATGGTGCAAAATGCCAGGCAGGGAATGTGGGTAGGTGTGGTGGGAGGTCGTGACGTGATGCGGAACAAATTTTTCAGTTCCTTCCAGCGAGACGGAGCCACCGAGAGAGGAGAGAGGGGATAGAAAAGTAGGCGGCGGAGGATTCTCTGGCTGGAGGTATACAGCAGGACACCAATGGTGGTGCTAGGAGGTCAGCTAGGCTTGTTTCCGGCTCGTGCGAGGAGGGTACAAATGTGCGGATATTCTGCCTGCATCTCCGCATTGAATATGCGGTGCCTCTATTGAGCATGCCCCCCACTTGATTCACAGCTCCCTACCGCCGACCCCCAAGTGGTGCCTGTCAATGCCTGTGTGATGCCTGCTGCTGCCGCTATGCACGGCGCACAAGGCCACGTGAACGCCGTTACCATGGCTGAGACAGAGGATGGGAGCGCAGAGTGTGTCGTGGGGATGGAGGTGGCGAAAGAACCAGCGCCTTCACTTGCCAAACTGTCCCTGAAAGTGCACGAGATCGCCAAGGACGCCCAGAATCGCAACGGGTTGCGGCACGGGGACTACCACCAGTACCGCCAGTACTGCACGCGGAGGCTGAAGCGGGTGCGCTCGTTGCCCCAAGTGCGCTTCATGTTCGGCAAGGGCAAGGGTTTCGTGCAAAAGGTTTGCTCCTCCGGCATAATTATTGCTAACTTTCTGGTGCTGGGGCCACTTGGTATCATGCACCCTACAGGTTCGATGGTTCAGTGATGATCTCCGTCTTGTTGAAGAAAGACCCAGGGATTGTTCGGCGGAGAATCACCCTCGACCGACGACCTGCTGTGTCTTACAGCAAACAACGAATTGGAGGACATCGAATAGCCTTCGGCTAGGCCGTGGATTTAGGTCGCCGGGGTTCGTGGGTCCTAGTTGTGTTCGGTGCCTTGTTCGACGATGAGTCCGCAGGAGTCAGCGCCCGCCTCCCTCTAACCTGACCACACGAGCAGTTGCAGGCTTGGATCCCTGTCGTGGAGGCCGGTCCAATAAGAGGGTGTATCTCTTTAGAAGCTCGCGGCAACATCTGTCGAGGACGTTTCCCTCTTTTCACAGACTACCCGAATGTTTAATCAATATTCCATGCAAGGTGATTTGGTAGTGAACCATAGAATTCCACGCGGCAATTAGGGTGGCCACGTGATGCAAAGCAAAAGTGGTCGCCGCTTGTTTTCACTTTCTGGGCCTGCTGCTGGTGCGTTTGTTGGAAATTTCTGTCGGACCCGACAGGAGCTTACTCCGGAGTCGGTGACCTCGGCGAGCCACCTCGAGATTCCCCTCATGATGGCTGAAAGAGCCTGGGCGTTCGCGATGCAGCGCAAGCAGGAGACGGCCGATGCCCCCTATCGAGTCAGGCGCCACGTCGTCACGCGTCTCGCAAAAGCAGCCAAGGTGAGGCTTGCTCGTGTTTTACAGCAGGTAGCGCCCGCACGTAAGAACCTGCAGGTTTGGGCGAGGCTGGGATTCTTACATAGTTCCTCTTGTGGGCTACAAATGGCCGCTGTATTGGTTCTTGGTGGTTCTTTGCCGAGCCAACAAATGGTGCTCAAAGTGCTTACACCAGGTCTTGAGTTGGTCGAGGCATCATTTCTTAACTGCCAGCTATGTAGCTGCATCTACCAAGTACTTGTGGGCAAAATTACTGCTGTCGTACTTATAGGAACCTCGAGTAGGTCCAGCGGCTGGAAGGCAGTCTGCGTTGGAGGGGGCGATGGACGAAATTCCGCTCAGCAGGCAGCAGCCATCGCGCCTCACACGTATTCTACGGTGTTGAGTTCTGCACGGACACCAGGGAACGTGCCCGTGGATTCCACTAAATAGTCCCTAATCGTCTATGCACTCGTTCCCTCCCTTTGCTCCGCCGGATCTCTCGATTCACCACCACCACCGCCGCCACCGTCAAAAACACGGGGCGATGACCGCGGCGGCAGTGGTCTGGCGACTTGGAAGCCCTGTGCCTCGAGACCGCGGACGAACGCACGTGCCTGGAGGCCACTGCCTACTGCGCGTGGATGTCCGGGAACTTATTGCTCGAGAAGGAGGCCTGGCGGGAGGCCCTGGACCGCTTCTCCACGGCCGACCGCATCTGCCAGGAGCTCGGCAAGGTAGGTGGCGTGACATTCTCTCCTTGAACGATCTCTCTGTGTGCCGCCTGTGGTAGGAGAGAACCATGCGAACCGAAGGCCAGGTAATATGAGCTGGATACACCTGTGCTTAGCTGTCACTCTTGTGCACTCCGGCGCAATCTGTCGAGGTTCAGGTTTACCACGATACAACAGCCTCAACCCTACAATATGTACACCGGCATGCGTCGTGACACGTGCATACCTTTCGCCACCGCCTAAAACAGGTGGGGGCAATCGAAGATCAAGACTTGTTCTCCCGCCGGGTGGAGGAGATCGAACCCATCCTGCGGTACTGCCGCTACAACCTCGACGCCACCGCCTCGGAGGAACTCCTCGAGATGAGCCGGGAGGACTCCAGCGCAGGGGGCGACCTTCTCGCCGCGAAGCTCGAGTCGGTGGTGGCCGAGGCACGCAAGAAGCAGGCGAGCGCGCTTGACAGCGTCGAGTGGAGGGGCAAGAAGGTGGCCGTAAGGTCGGAGACGCTCCGCGTGGCGCTGGTCAAGGCCGACGAGCTGGCACGGAGACTCGAGGCGGGGGGGGGTAGTCCCGGCTGCGAGGACCCCAAGCCGGGGCAGTACCTCAAGGTGTTCGGGGCGTATGACGATGCGCTCGGGACGATATCTCAGGAGACGTCGAGGCTTCAAGGGAAGGGCGGGGGGGCGAAGATGGAGGCGCATCGGTCCGAGCTGGAGGGGCTGCGCGCGTACGCGCAGCACCACAAGCTGAGGCTCATGCTGCAGAGGAACGAGCGCCTGGTGCAGGAGTTGCAGGAGAAGAGGAAGGCCGGTGGCGGGGGAGGGGAGCGAGATCCCGTCGGGGAGGTGGCGGACATCGTCCACGTTTACGACGCCTTGTTGCAGAGCGTGAGGAGCATGGTGACGAACCTAGGAGGAGGAGACGATGAAAATGGTGAGAGAGGTAGAACGCCACGCCCCGCAGGTTGAACCCCCCCCGGGTGACACACCCACGTTGATACTGTAAGTATATGTTGTGTTCATTTGTACCCTCTATAGTCGGTCGCCCCGGTGTTCAAAGCGGGTAACCTCGCACACCTACCAGTAGGTAGCCTTCTGGGTTCGAATCTACTCGTCGGGAATGAAAAAAAATCTATTCTGCGGGAGAGAGCAATTGTATTGAGGAGAATATGGGGTAAGAGGGAGGTGACTGCTGAACGCATATCGCCTAATATATTTTGCGTCCAAAGAACTGAAAAATATTAACTACCCAAACAGAAACAAACTACACCCAGCCTATATATGTTTATTTCAAAACAACACATGCAACACAATTTATATCAATGCTTTGTCTTTGCCACAAACGCACACACTTCTGCAACTATCCTGAATGCTGGCTACAATAGTTCACATACCTCGTCAAAGAGAGGAGCAGACTGTTAGTCACATCGCCAAGCGATCGTCAATCGTGATACTCCGTTCCTCAGGGCAGAATATGACGTGTCTGTTGAATGAATATGCCTTTCCTGCCCGGTAGTTACCTGGTAGCATGATATTTTGTTGGAGATCGTGCTTAATGGAATAACTCTCCATCCAAAGAACGGGTTGACGCGAGAACAGCGACAAACGATTCGAACTGAGCAAGAGTACGCCGGGGCATGTGGAAGACGGAGCAGCGAGTGACAACGTTCGCGTTAAGAACGGCATTTCAGATTATTTCATTGGTGTTGGGGGGGTTGGTTGAGTACACTCCAGGTTTGACAACGTGTTGTTGAGAACGTGTTGTGTGAAGAGACTGGAGAAGAAGTTCCTTCGTCGTGGATGCGGCATGACCGTCGCCTCTTCGACAACCTATTATTGGGCAAACAAGAAAGCATCCGACAGCTTCGAACCCTGCTTACCTTCCCTTATGTACCTCCAGCGCCTCGACCAGACTCCCCATTAATATTTGCACCCGGACAGCTACGGCCCACGATAAGAGTGTTTTGTGCACATTCTGCGCGAAGCCGCCGTTTTCCTCTTGGGGTCATCAGTTCAAGGAAGTACGCCAAAGCGGCACAGCTGTGGGTGCATTGCGCACACGTGTTCGCGCCTATGGAAAAAATTCCATTTTTTTTTTTTATGCAGACATTACAAATTCTGGAATCACATCGGGAAGCAGTCTCTCCGCGCAGTGTTTTTGGTTATTCTGCCACAACTCGCGCTGTAGCGCTGATCCCAATTAGTGCACATCATCTATGGATTGCCCACATGTAAAGACACACACAGACCAATTTTCGTGAGATTTGGTCCACCCTACGTGAGTAACCAAAAGGCATCTAGGTGCGGTGCGTGCTTCCATGGCTTGGATCACCATATATTTTTGGAGGTAGGCTCATGATCGTTCTGGAGGCCTCTCTGCTGACTACTGGAGTTTAGACTTGAATTTAGGCCGACTTTTGCAGGCCCACTGCCATCGCTGTAGTGCAGATCCCAATTAGTGCACATCATACATTCATTCTATGGTCTTTCATCTCTACTATGGTGCGGAGGTTCGGCCGAATTGGGACTCTGAAGCGGGTAACCAACTTGGATGAAAGTTGCTTCTCAGAGCTGAAAAGGTTGCGTGCAGCAGCAGGAAGGCAGCTTCAACTCAGATGTGATCGCGAGACATTTCTCCGGCTCAAAGCAAAATCAAAGGGTAAAACCAGCTTTCCGATGGAGGGTATGACTTGCTTGAGGCGCCCGCCTGTTTTGGTGAAACGACAAGGTCTGTGTACGGAGCACGAGGTGGTGAAAGAACTGGGCTCAGCCATGTCCAATATGGGGAGGGGATGAAACAAAATTGACCCCGCTGAAACCGGCGGCGTGATTTCTTGTCTGTACTTTTTTCCAATTCCTATAGGCACGAACACCTGTGTGCGGCGTACACCAATATGAACAAACCGCCGCGCCGACATGCATCGAGCTTGTTTTCTGACCAGCTATGGAGGCTTTCCCAGAACCCGCCTGCCTTGCCTTGTCCCGCGTGCAAGAGAAAGTCTCCTACGACTATATCTATGCTACCACTGCTTGTGTTTTCGTCTGACGTTTCCTTTGTGTCCTTGCTGGGCGTCTCCCTGCCGGGATGATGTTGTACTCGTGTTTTGTTCGTAGACGATATCGCCGAGCTGGAGGACGAGGTGATAGAGAGCGCCAGAGCGGACGAGGCGAGGTTTCGGGCCTTCCGATGTTTCTTTGTTATTGAGGCCTTCTCGGCACAGCAGAAGGTGAGCGGATGATATGTATGTAGGCCAAGAGTTGTAGGCCCGTGTTACATTGCTTGGTAAGGCCACACTTTTCATGGCCAAGCTGTTGCGATTGAGGGGAATTCGTGTCACAAGAGTAGAATAGAAGATGGCACTTTCTCGTGAAAGAAAGGCCGTGCTTTTCGTTGCCCTGTTGAAAGCAGTTGAGAAGGAACAGCTGCTCACTGGTTCCCTATACGCAAGCCTCGCGGCCAGGCTTCCATCGCAGATTGATTTGTTGCATCGATTTTGTTGTCCTCCGGCACGTTCACTGTGTATTCCTTCACACATCGCGCTGACAGGGCGTCGTCGGATCGGACGACATATCCGTTTGTGTGGTCCCGTGTTTGTATGTCCTCTCAGATGTAATCCCCGGGCTCATCCCCCCCCCCCTTCCCGCTGCCTTCTGTCTCTTCCGATAAGCAGTGGGCGGAAGCGTCAGCCCTGTTCGGGCACACCCGCACCCTCTGCCAAGAAGCGGCCGAGATGCTGGACGACGACGACCCCCGTGCGGAGAGCCTCACCGAGCTGGACGAGATGGTGCAGGGAGCGTGGCACCGCACCGCCGCCCACGCGCTCCTCCTCAAGTCGAAGCAAGAGGCCGCGCTCTCTGCCGGCGTGGACGGGATTTCCATCGGTGGAGGCGTGAATGCCGGGGCTTGTCCTTGGGCGGGTCGACCTTTGCAGGAACGTCTGAAAGAGTTCGACCCCGCAGGCGGAGGCAGTGGTACGGCGGAGAGGGGCAGCAAGAAGAGGACGTACCGTATCGCTGACTTCCCGCCGTCTTTGCAGCTAGTGCCCTGTAAGCCCCGGCTGCTGGACCTCGCCTTTGACGAGCTGGAGTTCCCGGACATCGACGAGCGAGCGGGGATCGAGAAGGAACCGGAGGTTGAGGAGGAGCCTAAGGGTGCTGCCGCCGGCGGGGGAGGGATAAGTGGCTGGGTTGGCTGGGCGTTAGGGCGGTCGAAGTAGAGGGATTGATGAATCTGCAGTCATGATGTTGGTTGAGCTGGGGCAGAGGTGGATGAAGCGAGGATGGTTCGTCTGTTGTTGGGCGTTGGAGGGCGTCGTTTTTGGGTAGCTTGCCTGTGATGACTACGGAAGGAGACGTTCGCGTCAGTTGGACCAGGGTACGGATGTTTGAAGGTGCCGCTGAGAAGAGATCCGAACGGTTTGACGTGAAAGGGGACGACAACCAACAACAATATATACCGAGACCGCGAGCTGCGCGTGTGTCCAACCATTCCTGAAAGTACGATCACTGCCCACATGTTTCGCGCTTTCTTTGCCATGTGGTGTCTGAATCATGATCAGGGTAAATTGTTTCTGCTCGAGCGCGAAAGAATGCCTAATGCACGCCACTTTCAGCCACGGTGCAAATCATGTCCTCTGACTAAAATCATTGCGAACAGATGTGGAGACCACCTTCATAAATAAAGGTAGAAACTCCCCAACGTCTGTCGAGGACGATTCCCTCTTTTCACAATGGCGTCGACGTGAGATGTCAGGGTGTCTTCTTTTGGTTGCAAAAGACACGGGTTCAAAACCCGCTAGTCATTATCTTCCGGAAAACGCAGAAAGAAAAACGGTGGGTGGGCCAAGGGAGGACGCACTGGCTATCGAACTCGGAACTTCTGATGACGTGGCGGACGTAGCGAATCCGTAAAACACGCACAGAGGATTGTGAAGAATGTGAATCGCCCCGCTGCCAGCCGGTCGGGTTCCGGTTACCCCAAGAAGACTTCTCTTGCCTGGGAAACAAGAAAAAGTCTCGAAAAAAAGGGGGGGTAATGTGGAGACCACCACCTTCATAAGGGTAGAAACTCCCCAACGTCTGTCGAGGACGATTCCCTCCATTCACACAGAGTGATATTCTTGCCCATCCCTGAAGCACGAAAATCCAGGCCACTTGGTGAGCGCCACCATGCCAACAACTAGAAGAGAGGACACCTGATCCCAGAACATTTGTCAGCAGCTCTGCCAATTCAGTCATGACACTACTGTAGGCGCAGGGAGTGTACTTGGAGTGTACCTCTGCCCACTATATACTGTAGTATCAGGGGGGGGTTGAGAGGACCGGGGGGGAGGGGGGTGGCGGTATTTGCTTGTTGTCTTTTTTGGGGTACGTGTGGGTAGCGTAGTTGCGCCGCGATTACACCGCTTCCGAGTTTTTGTAGCTTTTTCGATCCTCGACCCGCCGCTCCTCGCACACACAGGGCAGCGAAGACCGCGTGGCACGAGAGACGCAAGAGCGGGGGGTACACGCCCCAGGAAGAGTTGCTATTATATGCAGCTCTGCTGTAGCGCGTTCTGACTGATACCACACCATGAACAATAACCAGAGACCACGGCTTCAGAGAAGTGCCTCTGAGCGGGGCACACTCCAGAGATCAAGCTCGCTGTTTGGGCTGCTTGGGCGTGTCCCATGGCCAACCAACGAGGACGACCACTACTCTTCCAGCGGAGAAGATGAGCAATACCCGGTTGCTCCGCCCTCACCCGTGGTGTCACAGGAGGAGGCAAAGGTGACCTTTTGGTGGTGGAGGAAATTGAATATTCAACGGTAGGTAGGTAGCAACAGCAGCAGCAGCCAGCCTCGGGTGTGACCACACCAAAACTACGAACACGCGGAACACACACGCCGCATTTCCCATCATTGATGTGTGGGGGCGGTGTCTTGCATGCTTGGTATACATGCAGCCGGCGTCGTTTTGCAGAGGACGCGGCAACGTAGCAGCGTGCTTGACGTAAGAAAACGCACGTGCTGCAACTTATACTATAGTCGAGCCCTGCTGCTTTGTGTCGTCGATGCTGCTGCCCTGTATGCAAAGGTCTGCTTCCACAAATCCAAACGACCATCGCGCAACTCTCTTGCGTTCCAACAACAAACGCGACGCTTGCTGGCCCAAAACGCATGTGCAAGCAATGGCTGGGTCCCTGCCCCCAGCCATGGGACGGGCGATGACTAACTTGGCACAACTTACGCCAGCTGAACCCTCGCCCTGTGTAGCGGCAGACTGGAAGCAAAGAATCTGCTAATGTTCATGTGAATGAATCTCTTTGCCCCTTTGCATGGAGCTTTGTCGGGAGCAGGAGATTCGCCGCGGACAACAACAACATTGGACCAACAACCCTAACCGTTCCTCCCGTATTCGCGAGGAGCGTACAAAAACCATGCACGACGCGGCGGCAGCACACTCATGGTCCCCGAACGATAGCGCGCGACGTGCACCGAGTCTAGCTGCCGAGGCCGAAAACACGCATGTTTTTTTTTTTTTTGCTGAACCCTCCCCCCGCCGGCGGAACATTTGCGTTTTGATTCATGGTGGGACCTGCTGCCGCTGCTACTGTTGTCCATGTGTTGCGTGTTTTGGCAACAAAAAATGGCATTTCCTACCTGTACCGTGGTATGCATATGTATCTACCACAGAGGGCGCGCAAGCAGAAGCTGCAGCGGCTGTTCAAGCAGGGCGTGAGCAGAGTGGTGAGGGAGAGGGCGGAGGAGATGGACCTCATGGCGAAGAAGGGCTCCCTTTACGTCATGGACGCCTTCGCGGGAAGGTGAAAAAACGAAAAAACGCCTGTACAGCAGGAAAATGTACTACTGTAAATATGCATAGTATTTTTCTCCGAGTCTGTATTTTCTATTTTCAACAAATGATTGCTAAACTTAGTATACAGCAGGAGGAATGTACTTACCCAGCAAGAGGTATCCCGGGCCTTTTTCATCTGCTGTGGAAGGGATGATTTTGTTTTGTTTATCGCAAGAAAGAAACACAAAGGGTTGTATGCATACAGGGGAGATATCGCTGCATGCTGCTCGGGAAATCGTGGAAATACAGTTACATAGCTTCCGCTGACGCCATGGATTATTGCTTATCTATCTCAAGACTTTCCTTATAGGTAAAGATGGATGCATTGTTTGATACTCAGAACAAACATAAAAAAGGGTACGCAAGGCTGCCCTTCGAAGTGGGCTCATGAGAGCACAGCAGTAGCGGCGGTAGTTTGATTGGTTGTGGCGAACCTCCATCTCGTCTCTGCTCTCTACACCACCTTCAAAGAGATATGTATTGTACCGAGGATCTATATCTTAGAGGACCAGCACGGTTGCCCGAGGCAAGCTGCGTGGCCAATGAGAGCACAGCGGTGTCATGCAAGGGAGTGATGCAAGATAAAAAAAAACAAAAAAAAAACAAAGGTAGTAAAACGGTGTGATGCAAAATGAAAAAAGAAAAGAGCAAGGTGGTGTAGTAGCGAAACCTGGCGCGGTGGCCAAAGTGTCTGAGTTAGTTGCTCAGAGGGAGACAGCTGGAGTTGGGGCAGCAGCTGGTTTACAGCAGTGTTCAGTACCATCTCAACATCTCAACGCAACCGCGTGCTAAGACCAACTAACTTGGCTGCAAACAGCCATCTGACGGCCGTGTCTAAACGGCGGTATTGGGCGCTTCAAAGCTCGATCTGCCCAGCTCTGACGAATTGCCTACCGTACATGCTGGAAAAGCTGACTGCCAGCCGTGTGACGTCTTCCAAGCTCAGCCCACGCAGCTGACGTGTTCGTTAGTCTCGAAAAGCCCGGCAAACCACACTGAACCAAAACGAGAAAGATCCAAGCTATGTATATGACGTAGAAGCATATATTTCGTTCTTGTTTGGGGGCTGCCGAAGTAACTGCTGTGGTGTTTGAGGCCCCCCGATATCTACCCCCTCAGATCGGGTGGATTTTTGTTTTAGAAGGCACGGACGGTGCTCTGGGTTGGTAGAAAGGTGTGTGAGCCATCAGCAGTCGGGTGTTGCTCTCAGCGATTCGGCATATGGACCACTGCAAGCAACTTTTTGTTTTTTTCTTTTGTCGAAACCGGATGCCCCCAATCTGCCTCTCAACACGAGCGAGCAGAGAGGAGGCTACGCGTAGGTAGTGGTAGTCCTTGAACGCTTCAACTTGAACGCGTCAAAGAAAGCTACACGCAGACGTTATACCACCAACTCCTTGATAAGCAACCCCGCCCGGGCAACTAGGTACGAAAGAGGACGGCAGTAGTGGTTGGTGATACGCGATGGCAATTGCGTTTGAGGAACGTACGACGCGGCAGTGGTTGATAGTCTGCGCCCCTTGTCTCCAGAGAACGACTTGTGTGGTCTAGCGAACACCTTTTCTCCCTCCCGCACGAACCAATCAATCATCAATCGATATCCCGTTACAAAAAGTGCGTAAGGCCTCTTGACAAAATGGTACAATATGCAGCCTCTGCTCAACAACACCAACAACGCACACTCAGGCTGCAGCACGGGATGGCCGCGATGTCCACGAAGCCGTGGTACATCTTCATGGCCTTCCGGCTACAGATCAGCGCGTACTGGATGTGGACCATCATCGCGAGCAGCGTAGCGCACTCGCTCCTGGTTTTCCTGGAGCCCCGACCGGGGAGGCCTCCCGAAGACGGGGTGTTGGGGCCCGGGACCCTGCTGGGCCTCGAGGCGGCCTTCATCACTGTCTACGCGCTGGACGTGGCCCTCAAGGCCAGCTACATGGGGCTCAAGAGCTACGTCAAGAAGCCGTGGCAGAAGCTCATGGTCGTGATCGTGCTCCTGCTGGCGATAGACGCCTCTGGGGTGGTCGGAGTTCGCTTCGCCCGCGCGTTGCGGCCAGGTGCGTTTGCCGTAAGAAAAATCTCGGTCTTCTTGCTGTCTGCCGCTGGTCGCCCCAGCCGCTGCACCGGCTTGAACGTTTTTGGGATGCCATGTATCCTCGATCACGTCGTTAATTCCGTTGCTTTGACGGGCACGTCGACGTCCACTGCGGCTTCGATTCTCTTGTTTGCCGTTGATTGATGGTTTTGGCGTATGTGTCGTGTGACCGCGGGGTCCCCCCCGCCGCCTCCAGCGCACTCGTCTCCTGCCGACATCAAGGCGTCTTGCATCTGCGGACAAGCGATCCGCCTTACGAGCTTACTATGCATACGTCGTTTTCAGGTTGCAACTGTCTGCTGAAACTGCTGAATCCCCGTCCCACCCACGTAATGTTTTTTCGTTATACATCGTTGTGTTTGTTTTTTGTGTTTTTCGGCAGCAATTTTGTCGGTGCGGACACGACACATCCGACGCTTCTACGCGGTGGTGAGCCAGATGCTGCCCGGCTTCCTTAGGGTGTGTCTACCGGTCGTGTTTTTCTTGCTGTTAAGCGCCAGCTACGCGGCGCTGTCGTTCGGGAGGGCGAAAAGCGATTTTGAGGACCCCAGCACGGCGGGTTACGCGATTTGGTGAGTTTTTTTTTTTTTTTCGTCGGTGAGACGTTGTTCTCTTGGAATGGGTGGAACAGGCGTCACGAGTTCTGCTGTTGGTGGTGGTGTCTGTGACGTGCTAGTTTTGTGGTGGGGGTGGTCGTTTGTGGATCAACACCCGTGTTTAGCAACCTCTTGTTAGCATGTCGGCAGGTTTCGCACTCTCGCCCAACAGGCAAAAAGACAGAGCTCCATCTGTGGTCGGTAGGAAGATGAGACTCAAGTATTGCGCCGGTATGTTACCAACACAGGAGCGCTTCGAAAGGCTTCAACACAACCCTTTCCTCACGTTGCAACAAAGCTTCGACACACATACATCAAGAACTCCTCGGGCGGAGAGGCGTTGTTCAGGCAGGGTGTGTGGAAGGACACTGACCCTCGTGGTGCATGCGCTTGCTGCTGTCGGAACTCTTCTTGTTTTGCGCAGGATCTTGATGGTCTGCGCAGACAACACTGACCCTCGTGGTGCATGCGCATACATGCTGTTGGATTATTCTTGTTTTTGCGCAGGATCTTGATGGTCTGCGCAGACTACACTGACCCTCGTGGTGCATGCGCATGCTGCTGTTGGATTCTTCTTGTTTTTGCCCAGGATCTTGATGGTCTGCGCAGACAACTACGAGGCCTTGGTGCACGACCGTTCCACGCACCCTGCCTACGTGCCCTTCATCGTCATGGTGATTGTCGTCGGTTCGATGTTCCTGCTGTCACTGCTCCTCGGGGTCACGTACGACGTGTTCATCGAGCACACCACGGAGCAGGTGCGTGGCAACGTTCGCTCGACGCCAATCGTAGCCTGTTGACGGTCGAGAGCGTCTCGCTTGGTTGTTTCCGCCGCCGATGATGATGATGGGTTGTGAGTTGTGTGCGTTCGGCCTGTTCTTGCTCTGGCAACGGAAGGCGCAATGTATGCGCCTTGCTTGGCCCCTCAACAACCTGCTCTCGCCGTTGTTCGTTGACGATCGATTGCGGATAGTTGGGTTTCGCTGTGGTATCCTGCACCCTTTTCTGCCGCACCTTGTTACTTTTTGGTCGTATGCTACACACCGTTCTGGTCATATGCTGCATCCTTCTCTTCATGCTGTACCCTTTTCTGGTAGTTTTCAGGTGTTGCCGCCGTTGACGCTCGGTGTATATCCTGTGTCAGGAATGACTGCTGAACAAGAATTGATCGAACAAAGAGCTCGGAGAGACTCTATGAGTTGTTCCATTTTGTTCCGGCACGTCTGATACGTGTGTGCGGGTCCGCGTTCCCTATCGTGTTGTGTATGCCACCGCTCATGAACGGTGCGTTTTCCTCGACACAGGTCAATCAAGAGCGGATGAAGGAGCTCAAGGGGCTCAACGTTGCCTTTGCCACCATGGACCCCACGGTAAGCTATTACTATTTAACGAGAACGGCAAAGAGTGTCGACCCACCATACCTACTGCACATGTACTTCACGCCCTCCTTCGTCACGGCTTCTGTCGAGATGTCCTTACGCTGACCACAGCTCAGTGCTGATTTTTTTTCTCGTGTTGCTCGGACGGTGCGTTTTCTGCATGTACTGCGATTGCTGTATTGCCCTCCCGCCCCCTCTTGACCCTATCGGTGCTGGGACCTGTGTAGAGAGACGCACTAGAAACGTGTGTGGATATGTACCCATAGTGCTCGTCTTGCATCCCTGTTTCGAATCTTATCTGTCGTTTTTGCTTGTATATTTTGCAGCTGCGGCTTCTCGCCATCAAGAAATCTTCGCATCAAACCCGCTGCAGCAATAGGTCATCGTGTACAGCTACGACCAACGAGCGATTATTTATTCCGGGCGTGTTCCATGTTTTATTGGCTGACATTAACGCGACCTTTCGTTTACGTTCTCGATGGCCAGGGCACCGGCAAGCTGAGCATGGTGGTTTGGGAAAGGTTCTTGCTACACCTGATGCCGCGAACAACGCAGCAGGAACGAGCCCTCTACTTCGAGATAGCCTCGAGTTTCGCAGATAACCTGGACGTGCTGGGGTTCATGGACCTGCGACAGGTGATTTGATTTGCGGTACCCCCGGAAGCGATGCTGACCCCCTGATATTGTATCACACAATGACAAAAATACACTTAGCTTGGAACAATTTAACGCGATTACGATATCATGATATCATGCGATACCGTACCGTAGGTCGCGGAAGGTACCACAACCTCCTGGACAAAGGTTTTAAAGCTCGATTCCCCCGCGAAGAACAGGACGCCAAAATGAAAGTGTTGCGTTTTGGGAAAGCTACCGACGAGAATAATTTTCGAACGCTACCACGTTGGGCACTGTCATTGTTGCCGCAGAGCAATCGAGCTGTGGTACGAAAATCAGGGGGGGTGTTATCTTACGCCATGTCACTCAAGGTACCCACATGATATGGTATTATATGATGCCTGCGTGAGCCAACCCATTTTTGACCCCTCGCTCTCGGGTCTTGATGTACCCCACATGCTGTGATATGATTGATACCACCCACAGCAGTGGGTGGGCGTCTTTGGTACGGGTTGCCGAGATAATGCGGGTGAAATCGGCTGGCACCTCAGATGGAATATTCAAGACATTTACAACAATACATTAATAGTGGTGAAAGCCCTTGGCACATACATACCCGCACTGTAGAGGGGCCCCCACTACTGTATGTGACACCCCCCTTTTTGACCCCATCGCCCTCCCAAGAGACGATCGCTGACGTGGTGGGACATGATATGATTGATACCACGTATCACCTATCCATGTGACACCTAACCCCCTTCGGTGCCTCGCCCTCTGTCAGGTGTTGAGCTACTCCTTCGTGAACGTGAACGCGGTGGAGAGGCAGGGCAAGCGCAAGAAGTGGGAGAAGATGCCCCCGCGGGTGGCCTGGCTGCTGGAGAAGATGGAGGCGGTGCTGGCCACGCGGTGGTGGAAACACACGGTCGCCGCGGTCGTTCTCCTTGGTACGCAAAGAGTGTGAACTGAGTTCTTCGGATGGCGTGTGGTGTTCTTGTTAAGTTGAAGTTTTAATTGTACTCACAATCGCCGCAGTTGGCTCCTTGGTACGTTGAAGTTTCACACGGTGGCCGCAGTTGTGCTCCTTGGTACACAAGCGTATTGCTAGCAGTCTTGCTGTGGGAGGTGTGTATTCTTACGCTAAAACGTTTAGTAATATCTGTTGTGTCGTGCCACCGACACGGCCACAAGAACACGCCTTCTCCTAGCGTGCATGGAAAACCATGCGAACATTGACGTGGAATCGGCCGGCGGTGGCCTATCGCGCGTAGATATTGTGTGTAGATGTGACGGTGGGGCCGTGTGTGAGTGCGAAATTCCTCCACTGCGATTGTTGCCGCCGTGGCAGGTGGGAAGAGGGGGAAGAAAGAAGTCGAGGTGGGGGGAAGCTGCAGAAAGAGCTTAAGATCGCAGAGGAAAAGTGCAAATGTCTGATGGACGAGGCAAACAAGGCGTTTGTGACCACTCTTGAAAAGAGGGACGCTGCCTTCAATTCCTTCTCTAGAGTGGAGATCGTTTTCTGCCTGGTGTCTCGGAGGACGTGTGCCTTCATGAGTGTACGTAGGCTAGCGTCAAAGGCCTGGCCTTCGTCAAAGGTCATAGGCTTGGAGCAGGCAGAAAACGATCTCCACTCTAGAGAAGGAATTGAAGGCAGCGTCCCTCTTTTCAAGATTGGTCACAAACGCCTTGTTTGCCTCGTCCATCAGACATTTGTACTTTTCCTTTGCGATCTTAAGCTTCTGCAGCTTTCCCACACCTCGCTTCTTTTGAGCCTCCGAACACTCCGCGTTTTTTTCCGTTTGTCTGCTTTGAAGGATTGTAAGCTTTTCATTTCCCTGCTTAACCTCCCGCTCGTACCGCGCCCTTCGGCTTGCTTCCACTGGCACCTTTTCTTCGACTTCTTTCTTCCCCCTTTTACCACCCGCCATGGCGGTAACAATCGCAGTGGAGGAAACTGCTCGTCTTTACTCTCCGCTAAGCACTCGAAACGGTTACCCGCCAACACCGATTGCCCAGACACATTGTCAGAGGTGGAAGAGAACGCTAAGACACTAGAGTCACCCCCCCTCCTCACTAGACTCTCTCTCTTGCTTGATGGGTGGATTGACGTGCCGTTCATTGGCCGTAATTGCTAACCGCGCCGCATCGTCTTCCTCCTGAATATCCCCCCCAATCACTAGCCGTTTTCTCGCACAATTCTTCCCCAATTCAACGGCGGCTTGCGTCTGTTCCTCGTGGTACTCTTTTCACGCCCTTGTTTGACGATACCTCAACCTGCTCCCAGAGCCGACATTCTCATGTCCATTCCATCACGCCTCAACATATACACTGCGATTAAACTACCCCAAGTCTTCTTACACTGACTAAAACTAGGATTGACTTATCGCACGACAATAGTATCCTGAAAAGTGCGGCGATCCCGATGATGCCCTTGTGTACTTGCACCCCCTTTTTTTTTTTTTGTAGGCGCAGGGATAGCGGCGGGCTTATTCCTTTCTGCCTACGGGCTGGCCAGCCGATGTGTTGGGGTGCTTGTTTCTCTCTCCGATGAAAGTCTTTAGCGTGGAGTAGCTCCAGCGGCGAGGAGCTTCCCCCGCCCTCCCCGCCGTGTTTGATTAGGATGCCTCGACGCACGGCGGCGCTAGCCGCCGTCGTGGTTGATCGATGAGATGCAAGTGGCCTCGGCAGTGAAACCTAGCGGTCTGTTGAGTGTTCTTCTTTTTCTTCGGTGGATAGCGTGCTACGCTGGAAACGCTTCCGAAACTAGCGGCGCAACAATACCCAAGATGACGCGCAACTTTTTATCCAACGCGAACCATCACTTGACCTGGCAGACGGCCTGTTTTTTGTCTTTTTTCGTCCCTGTACATGCCGCCAGACTGCTTCATCTTGCCCCACAGCATTCCGCACCAGGGGCCGGGGCTGATGGTGACGCGGCTCACCATGGCGTGCGGGGCGGTTTTGCTGTTGGATCAGGCGTTTCAGCTGGCGGAGTGGATGCACCAGGGGGCTGGCCCCGGCCCGCTCAAGCTCTCGGGGGGCAAGAGCCTGCACACGAAGGTTGGTTGGGTGTCCGCGGTGGCTGTGCGTGTGATCTCATGGGGTTGTACCTCGTGCGTGTGCTTGTCGCTCTCTCTAGTGTTGTTCAGCGTTTGGGATGGAAAGAGTGGGTGATGACGTGAGTGTCGTGTACGTACGCGTACCGTTCCTAGATCGTTTTCCGCGATGGCACTGCTGTCCTGGATACGGGAAACAAAGGTCCTATGTACACCCCCACCCTCCAGGTTGTACAAGTCTTGGTTTAGCACGCCTCCTGCTTAGTTCGTTCTGTACGCTATGACTATCCTTTACGTGTAACCCCGGTCGCAGCCAATGGCATGCCTGGTTTGGCACGCAAAAGATGACGACACTACCAGCCTCTGGGTCATCCTTGTGAAACGTAGGCTAGGCCGGTGAACACCCGGCATATCCCTCCGCCCTGGCATTGTAGGGATGTGAGATCAATGGTCTAACGACTACGGCATGCAGTTACATGGGTACACCCCTCGTTCCCCTCTCTCTCTGCCTCTCTCTCCCCCTCTCCCTCTCCCTCTCCCTCTCTCTCTCTGCATCCTTCTCTCTCTCTCCACTTCTCGTTATCTCCTTAGGTGGCAGGAGTGGGCGTCATCCTGCACACCTTGGTGGTGGCCTTGCTCCACTGCCCGCCGCTTCTGTCCCTCGTCTGCTCCTTGGTCTCCTTCGCCTGGGACACCTTTTCCTCCGACTCCGGATCTCTACCGTCAGAATTTTCTGGCGGCGGCGGCGGCGGCGGCGGCGGCGGCGGCCCGGAGTTCTCCGTAGTAGGGGCGGAAGGGCTGGGGGCCGCGGGCGGTGCTTGGGAGGGAGAGATTTGCGGGCTTGACGAAGGCGTCTTCGGGGGGGGGAGCGGGCTCGGGGTGTTTGAGGGGGGCGGCGGACGGGAAAGGATGTGCATGGAAGTGGACTGGTGAGTTGGTTATCAGCGACGAAAAATTGTTGTGGGTACAGTGTTCAGCCTCGTTTGTTTAGTTCGCGTTGGGGTGTGCTCATGGGTCTGTGCCAGGTGACTTTTGTCGGAATGCCGGGGAGAGTATCGTTGTTGATGTATGAGTTTGCTACACCACGCCTTCGCTTAACACTTATCTTGGTGTGTGCATACGTTTCCGTTGAAAGAGCAGTACTGCCCGGTGCGGAACGGTCAGATCTGAATTGTTTCTTGTGTGCAAATCAGCAAGATTGGCACATTTTTTTGTTGCATACGGGTGATCCTTATACCCCTGTCCTCCCCCGTTAAAACCGCAGCCTCTCGACGTCTTTAAAATGAAACGGCAATAAATCTCCTTCGTGCGACAAAGACAACGAACCCGAGTTTAAACCAACCCCCCCCAACCAATCCAATCCTTATCAGGTGTACGGACTCGCTGCTGATGCTGGCCTACACCCTGCGGCTGGTGCGGTGTTGGCGACTGGTGACCCTGAGCGACACCCTGCACGACCACGTCAATACCTTC